CTGTCAATAGGAGGAAATAACACTGCCTGGATAGCAAGGGTAAATAAATCAGACAATGCATATAAAGCTTGTACCTAGCGCACAGTGTGTACCTAGTGTTTCTTTCTTTTTTTTTTTTTAAGACCTTATTTATTTATTTGACAGAGAGAGAGAAATAACGAGAGCAGGAACACAAGCAGGGGAAGTGGGAGAGGGAGAAGCAGACTTCCCATGGAGCAGGGAGCCCGACACGGGACTCGATCCCAGGATCCTGGGATCATGACCTGAGCCAAAGGCAGCCGCTTAAGGACTGAGCCACCCAGGCGCCCCTAGTAAGTGTTTCTTATTATCATTTCCAAAGCCTATCACAGATTAGTGGGACCAACCACTTCAGTCTTATGTGTGTGTATGTGTTAGTGGTGGGTAAGGGCTGGGGGGGGGGGTTGGTGGTCAATAAACAAGACTGATTTTATAAGAATTTGGCCCATAGTTTTGTAGTATCCTATTTTTAAATCCTCAGCACCACCACCCTCTCCGCTGGCACAAATTCAACTGCCATTTTAGAGTCAAGACCACATTTGACCACATTACCTCTTGGGCAACTTCCTGCTCACACGACATTTTCTAGGGGGGGGTTATTCTCCTGGTCTTAGCATTTTTAATGGCATAGAGCCAAGGATTTCAAAACTGTTGCTAAAGGTGGATTTTAACTGGCAGCTATTAATTCAGAAAGTGCTAATTGTTGCAACAGTGTTATAAGAGTTGAAATTTAAAACAACAATGCTTTCTGTTAGCTCAGGACCTTCCCACAAAAGCTCAGAAAGGATCGGGGGAGCAGATGTGTATAGGGTGGGTAGAGAATGCTGGGTTAAACCCTGCTGGTGGTTTTGGTTTAGAATTTAGATTTTACTTTCACTATTACTAGGCAGGATCAACTGACATCAAATATAAAACAAAACAAGCATAGCAGGTTGGTCTTCAAGAACAGGCCCAACATTGAAAAATCAAGGTTTAAGCAGATACATAATGTCAGCATAAACTCTATGAGCTAAAGGATTTCACATTCTAGAGCATGATGTTTAATACAAATTACTGTGTACTGGAAGTCAGAACAGTACAAAAAATTGACACTTTAAAAAACTCATTCTTTCAACGTGTAATACCAGGCTCTCTGCTAGGTGTTGACATAGAGATGAAAAAAGACACAGTAGTGAAACAAAAATGTAAAGAGATAATGGCAGCACATCATGGTCAGTGCTGTGGGAGCACAAGAAAGGGAGAATTACACTTGCCGGGAGCCTCTGGAAGCTTCACAGAGAAAGCGACTTTTGAAATATGCCTTCAAGGACTGCTATAGCCCAGCCTGCATTTTATTATAACTAACAACGAAACAATGTAATTACCACTTCTATACAACCCACTAGAGGGGTTGCAGATACTCTAAGTCTCGCTAGAACCTTTTTATTTTTTTTAAAGATTTTATTTATTTATTTGACAGAGAGAGACAGCAAGAGAGGGAACACAAGCAGGGGGAGTGGGAGAGGGAGAAGCAGGCTTCCCATTGAGCAGGGAGCCCGATGTGGGGCTCGATCCTAGGACCCTGGGATCATGACCTGAGCTGAAGGCAGACGCTTAACGACTGAGCCACCCAGGCGCCCCTCACTAGAACCTTAAAAAAAGTAGGTATCGATGTTCTAATAGACAGATGGAGAAACTGGGGTTCAAAACTTAAGAAACTCAGGGTCACATAGATAGTAGGGAATGGCCCGAGGACTTGAGCCCAGATCTGTATCATTCCAAATCCCCTACCATGGCCCTGCACTGCCCAGAAAGATCCACTTCAGCTCCCTATTGCCAACCAGTACATGATTAACTTGTAAGTATGTGGAGTCTTGGTGTGGGAACTCACTCTGAAAGCCCACAGAGAATGTCAAATTTTGGTATCAAGAATTGGGTGACTGAAAGGTGAAGATGGTGGCTCTGTATACATGGCTCACCTGGGGTATAGTGCCCTCTCCTTATTCTGAAATGCAATCACATTTAGTTTGGAATGGTTTATTCTGACTCATGGGCTGCCAGATTCCCTCTCTCAAGCTCTGTGAACACCTTGAAGTCAGGGAATAAGCCTTATACAGCAGCCCCCCCACACACACTTTATCTGAGGTTTTGCTTTCCATGGTTTCAGATACCCACAGTCAACTCTGGTCCAGAAGGAGATGACCCTCCTTCTGACAAATTGTCAGAAGACGAATAATAGCCTAACATTACATCATAATGCCTATGTCACTCACCTCACTTTATCTCGCCCCATAGGTATTTTATCACTTCACATCATCACAAAAGGAAGGAGGGGGAATACAATACAATATGATATTTTGAGAGAGAGAGAGACCATATTTACATAACTTTATTACAGTATTTTGTTATCATTGTTCTATTTTATTATTGTTGATTCCTTACTGTGCCTAATTTATAAATATTACAGGTATGTATGTACAGGAAAAAAACAGCCTCTATAGGGTTTGGTACTATCTGCAAATTCAGCCATCCACTGGGTGTATTGGAGCATATTCCCCACAGATCATGGGGTCTACTATGCTTCTTTGAGACCCTCAGAGTCCAGCACTCACAGAAATTGGCTGATGGATTGTGGATTCACCTTATGGTTTTCCGAGGGCTTGATAAGTGTGGATGTTGATTTAAGTTAGGTTGACTGAGGTGAGGTTGACTAGACTTAGGGTTTACATGCTCTAAAATAAGAAAAAATATACTAAGCTGTATAACATAGTGGTTTTCAGACTCGTGCCTCTCAGACTTTAGGGTGCATGTGAATCACGTGACTACATGTAGCCCTACCCAATACACCCTATTTAAAAAACAGGTCAAATGCGGACAAAAGTATTGCAATTAAACATCTGGGGGAGGCAGGAGACTCAATTTTCAGGGTTCATATCCCATTTCCAAACCTTGTTGCCATTCCTGGTCCTTTTGCTTTCAGGTCTATGAAGAGTATATTAAGTACATAACAGCTACTGTTTATTGTGTACTTATGAAGTGCTTGGCACTGTTCTTGCTGCTTCAAGCATGTTATCTAATTCGCACAGCACCCTAAAGTACTATCCTTATATTGCTGATGATGGGAAAAAAATAAAATTAGCAGTAACTCCCTTACATTTACACAGGGATTTATTCCTGGTTCACCTGAGTCCAAAGTCTAGTCTAATAGTTCCTTGTCACTGGGTAATGAGGGAGCATTTCAGGGATGCGCAAGCTTGAGGTCAGGGTGACAATTGTACAGAGGATAGAGATGTTCAGAAAGCACTTGCAGAACAAAGCCCCCGACAGGAGGTTTGTGCCCTTAGTATTTGCCTCATTGAGTGTTTAAATCCAGGTAAGGTATTTAAGAGCTGGAGCTACCTCAGATAGTATCTGGTAGCTTGCAAGGTAATCACAATTTTAGCAAATTGCTGAAGCCAACCTCTCCCTTTTCCCAGGAACTCTCCAGGAATTTTTTTACCTGCTATCGAGGAAAAAGGCCCCACCCTAGATTTTTGTGCTGATCTAGTTAATTAAGGCTGGTGTTAGAGTCATCTACAGCCTAACAGGGTGTAAGGTTGACTTCCACAGCATACTGAATTTGGCCCAGCGAGCCCATGAAAAGCAGTTAAAAGCTTAAGAGAAGCATGGAGCACTGGGTGTTATACCAAACAATGAATCATGGAACACTACATCAAAACTAATGATGTAATGTATGGTGACTAACATAATAAAATAAAATTTTTTTAAAAAGCTTAAGAGAACAACTTCCGGACAAATTTTCTTTTCATTTTGACTTGGAACTACAAATGGGGTTAAAGGAGGTGCCTGCTTTCTTCAGGCTTGCTGGTAAGAACAAATCAACTAGTGAAAGACAGTTAGGTACATCGGCCTTTTCCTGACTGCCAGGACAGAGTAGTAGGTTCATTTTCAGTACTCTTAGAATAACGAACATTGAGAAGGCATCCTAGGGGATTTTATATAACCTAGTAATCTTGTTTGTACATTTCACTGGGCAGAAGATTTTCCATACGAATAGCTGTCAGCGTTCAAGAAGACAGTTTGCTTTTTCATCCTGAAAGTGGGTAGGAGAATGTGGAGAAGAAAAACATGCTTCAGATCAATCAATAGGGAGAGCCCCTCCCCCCCATACTCTTAACAACAAGTGGTTTTGATGAGGACGATCAACTCCTTTATGCACAGTTCACAACTGTAGGCGGAGCGTTCAATTTCCGCGTCTCTGGAACCTGCTGCTGAAGAGACGAGGGAGCCCAGCTCTCAGTGTCCGGGAACATGGGGGTTCCTGCTGGAGAGGAGACTCAGGTGTCCAGGGAGATTGGTTTTAACCATTCTCCCCTGTCTCCCTCAGTGCCCGCCCTCCATCCCGCCCCACCTCATTCTTGTGTTCTTATGGGGTCCTTCTGTTCTCCTGCGGGGCGGGAGATGTGGAGGAGGGATGATCTCCATCCTGACCCCAGTCCCGCAGGGGAGTTGCCAGAGGGCTATTTTTAGTGGTAGCTGCTCCCCTCTAACACCCAGGGGAGGAGCTGCGGCAGTGGAGTGGCCGCAGAGCGCGGAGAAGCCTCGGTTTTCCGCGCCCTGTTAGGGATGGGGGAGGTATTGGACGCAGCCCGTTCCCCATGCAGACGCCGCCAGGTGGCCGCCTCAGAGGCGGGAGCGGCCCCGCCGGGAAGCGCGGGAGGGCCCGTTTTCCACGGCCAGGGGAAAGCCTCCGGCTGCCAGCGGCAGCCTCGCCGGCCAGTCCCGGCGCGCGGTGGTCTCCGCAGGGGAGGAAGTTCCCGGGCACGGCGGCCTGCGTCACAGCGGGGCTGGGACCGCCGGGCGGGCGGGCGGGCGGCGGCGGCGGCGGCGACTCCGGGGCCGGGCACTGGGCGGCGCTGGCTGCCGCTGGCCCGGCTGCGCGCGGGGCGGCGCTGGAGGCGGCTCCGTCCGCGGCCGGGGAGGCGGAGGGGAGGAGGGCTGCGGGGCTGGGGCGGTAGCTGCGTCCCGGCTGGGAGCCCGCGAAGAGGACGAGGAGGAAGGCGCCGCCGTGGCCGCGGCCGCAGTGCTCCGGGAGCCACACGCCATGAGCAGCGGCCCCGCCGACGACCCCGCTGTCGCTGACCGCCGCTGAGCCGGACCGGGAGACCGCTCGCCGCTCCCCAGCACCCTCCCCGCCGGCACCCTCGCGCCCGGAGGTAAGGGCGGGGACCGCCGAGGGATGGAGAGGGGCGGCCCGCCGAGGACCGCCCGGCTCGGTCCGCTAGGTGCGCCGGAGCCGCTGCTCGCCCTGCGCCTCGCTCGCTTCTCTGTCTGCTGCTCGCGCTCTCGGGCGGGCGGAAGGTGGTCGCCTGCCCGGGGTTTGCTCCTTGCAGCCACCCGCTGCTGGGGCTCTGGGACCCGCCAGCCCCCACCCCACCCATCCCGAGCCAGCCCCAGCGTCGGGGCCAGGGACCCCAGCCTGGCGCCGAGCACCGCGCGGCCGCCGCAGGTTCTGCGGACTTAGTGGGGGGTGGGGGGATCGGGGGTGGAGGACGAGGAGAAAAGGCGGCCACCGCCGGGGCGATCGTCCTTCTTCCCTACCTGAACCCTCCGCCCCCGAGACCCCACGGCCTGTCCCTTCTGGTCTGCTCTCCCTTTGTACCCCTGAGCCCCTGAAGTTAGCACTTTCGGGGAGAGAGGAATCTGATGATCTCCGACGGGAACGAGAGCGCGGTGCCTACCCCTTTGCAGGACCGGCGGGGAGAGAGGGTTTAGCCGGATCGGGCGGGCCCCAGAAGCCAGGTGTCTGGGCCGGCTGTTGAGACCAGGACCGCCGCCTTCAACCTCAACCCAGGGTCGCCGGTCTTTCCCTTTCCAGCTGGTTCCCAGCAGCGAGGTGGTTAGGGTTGGAGTCAGCAACTCCGGAGCCTTAGGATGTGCTCCGTAGACGCTAATTCCATTCTTTTCTCCCCGGCCAGTTCTTCCCTCCCCCACCCCACGCCTGCCGGTGTACATCAGATTACAGTTCCTTCAGAAGCTCACAGGGTACCTCGCTCTGAATAACCACAGACACCTAGCCCACATCCCAGGACGGATATTTCAGTGTGAAGACCAAACTTCACTTGGTTTCAAATTCTTTTTAAACATCTGAAACTCAGCAAACCCGTTAGGAAAACACTTTCAATTCCCCATCCTCCTTAAGGTAACAAATAAGAACCAATTTTGTGGGAGTGCTAGCATTGGGCAAAGGGAGGCTTGAGTGACCCTATTTATCGCAGCTTTACGGGGGAGGAATAGATAAAAGAAATGGCAGTCCTATTTTATTCGCATACTTCTTATAATGTAAGAAATGGAGCTTCAACCAACGGGCACATTTCCGGACAGGTATGGAGTGGTTTCCTAAGGCATCCACGAGGCTTATTCATGGATAAATCAGTAAGATGTCGTCTAGGTGGGAAAGGAGGCAAACTGATGTTAACCCTCTTGCTTGGCACAACACTGCAAAATCGCTGGAACCAAGGAGCTTTATACGTGTGTACATTTTTTTCTTTATTTTTTAATGATTTGTGTAAACCCAAAAGGTACATTGAACTTCCCAAATTTGCTTCGATTCATAAACCAAGTGTTGGATGTGTGGATATAGATGACCCATTAGATGTATCCTACTCTAGTTTTCTGTGTTTGTATTTCTTCTGACTCGCTTAATTAGGGAATACCAGGGGTGTAACCCTGATTTACTTTACTTTGGAGTGATTGATTTAAATACTGTCTTGACGTCAGTTTGTTTGTTTGCTTTTGAGGGGCAGTTGGGGACCAGTTTTGCAAGGATGGATATTTTTCATGGTTCACATAATGGATTGACCACAGCTGGGTCCTACCACTTCAACAATGCTATCAGAGATAGCAAGCATGTTTAACAATTTTCTTAGCAATAAAATTATCAAAGTCTCTGTTAATGGTACTAATCTTTTATTTCTCAGATTGACTAAGCACTTTGTTTAATGGAATGCTTTTAGTGAAAAAAATGTGTGAGGGAGTATAAAAGAATGACTAATTTTCCACTTACATAAATTTTAACTTTTAAGTACAATACAAAGTTAGCAATTTTTAAAACGCCTAAGGTGTCTAATTTTTACCAAATTGCTCTTACGATTTTCCAGTAGTCTGTAGTATTTTTAAGTTATAATCACCAATAACATTATAATAGAGCCCAAGTGTAAAAACAGTTGGGGTGGAAAGTTACACATATTTTGCCAAGTATTGTGTTAATGATTTAATATGGTGGATACATTGCTATAATATAGTCTAGTACTGTAGGTACCTAACATACGTTATACTCAGATTCGTACAACAAATGCTTAAAGTAGATGGTGCCATCTACTTTTTACAGAAGAAAAATGGTCAGAGTCTGTGACTTGCCCAAGACAAGACAGCTAACTTAATGCCTGAATGAGGCCAAACCTCTTTAGCCTCAATGATGTACTTTTCTGTTATCCAAAGCTGCCTATCTTTTTTCTACAAAGATTTATTGTTAACTTGCTGTAATGACTCTATGAAGAAGCTGAGATTGAAGAAGTAAAATCACTATCCAGGATTTTCCATGTAAATAGTATATAGCAGAATTCACATTTGGAATTGGGGCCATCTATTTCCTAAACCCGTGTTCTTGCCACTGATCTCTATTAAATGACAGATTAAGAACTTAACCTAATGGATATTTTACTTTTTTTAAGATTTTATTTATTTATTTGACAGAGAAAGACACAGAGAGAGAGGAACACAAGCAGGGGGAGTGAGAGAGGGGGAAGCAGGCATCCCTCTGAGCAGGGAGCCCGATGCGGGGCTCGATCCCAGGACCCTGGGACCATGACCTGAGCCGAAGGCAGACACTTAACAACGGAGCCACCCAGGTGCCTCGACATTTTACTTTTTTTCATCAGCGGTTCTCATCAACATGACAGTGATGGTCTCATAGGCCGCAGTACACTCTCAAGATTTTATACTTAGTCCCTGGAGTGCTGGCTGTATCTCCAGCTCTATCACTGATGAAAGCATAGTTGCAGCCAATGAGGGTGACATTACTATGGAGGTATCCTTGATTCCACTTCATTTCTCTTAACATATAAATCAGGCTAGATTGGCATGGGAGAAAGAGCATGGTCTCAAGATGGGAAAAGCTGGTATCAGATTTTGGTTTTACTGTCCAGTAGGAGTGTAAATTAATTCATGCTGTGGAACTTTCCTGAGCCCATTTCCTGATGTATAATGGAGTTAATAAAACCTATTAGTTGGAGTACTGTGTGGACTAAATGTAACAAACTGTATAAAGGACAGCTCCTGTCACCTACTAGGTGTTCAGTAAATGGTAGGGATTAGCACCCCTGTATCCTGGCGTTGATGGAAATTTCTGCTGGAATTAGCTCCATCTATATTTTACATGCATATAGTGATTAGTCGTTGCTATCAGTGATTCATTCTTCATATGGCTAGACAAAGGTCTACTCTGGTTTCTAGCATCTTTAACTTTTGAATCACATCCTTTTTTCATAGTCCTGACTTACATTTACTCACCTTACATAGTTTGTCATTTGCTCCACTCTCCATATTTTTTAGAACTTTACTAGCCATACTTCAGTGAGTTGGAATTTGTAATTTTTGGCAAACACACTTTCCTGTTTTCTGCTTCTCCTGATTTCTCAGCCTTGCTTATCACTCAAGGCACCATGACAGTCCCACTTTCTTCCCACCACATACCTCACCCTTGGCCAGATCTCCACTAGCTAAAATTCTGCATGTCCTTCAAGGCCCAGCCTAAATGCTACCTCCTTCTGGAGCCCACATACCTTCCAGTATGTCCACACAGTACTCCAACTAATAGGTTTTATTAACTCCATTATACATCAGGAAATGGGCTCAGGAAAGTTCCACAGCATGAATTAATTTACACTCCTACTGGACAGAAAATCCTTTCTCAGTTCACTTATAAGTCAGACACCATATAGCCTAATAATTAAAAAAAATTTTTTTTTGCGGGGGTGCGCCTGAGTGGCTCAGTTGTTAAGCGTCCACCTTCGGCTCAGGTCATGATCCCAGGGTCCTGGGATCGAGCCCCGCATCGGGATCCCTGCTCTGCGGGA